TAAACAGATTTCAACAAACTCTGACTTATAATAGAAGGTGTAAAAGCTGAACTTGACATTCTATGATAGTAACAGATGACAAGACAAAATGTGAAAAATCACATTCTTGAGCTAAGCTGTCTAAGAAAAAAGCCACAGGAAGAAAATGTACTGATGCTAGCATGATTGATTTTCAGTACATTATAATATGAAAACAGGAAAGATATTTAAAAGAAATATTTCAGACTAGTTGCCATGTTCTATCCTGATAGACTATTATATAATTTGTTGTTATTATGTCAATGTCCTCTGTATCAACACTAGTTTACAACTATTAACAGGGATATCTAAAAAGTACTGTGATTAATAATACAAAGAAATGATTCATACATATATATTTATGCACAGGATATATAGTATTCATTCAGACTATAAAACAAGCTACAAAGCAAATAGTATCATTTCTCTGATATGTGAGCTGTTGCTTCCAACGACAATGGGATTAGATAGAAGCCAGGAAATGTACTGTCAGAATTTGTGTTCTTTATCCGTACATTCATGAAAAACGTCTAATTAGTCATTTACAGGTCTTCAGAACATGTACACTGTGAGGAGCTGCAGAGGGTCTCAAAGTGAAATAAATTCGTATGTAATAACACTATTCCACCTTTAGAAAAATAAATATTAATCCGAACAAGTTCATTAAGATTTTCTTTTTAGTATCTACAGATGCTGAGTAAGAAAAAGGAGAAACTTCACATAGGTCACTTTTAAGCTGAATTAAAGGTAAGAAAGAGGCTATTGAATCTATCTTGATCTTCATTTTCTGGAAGAGTACAAAAGAGAAAATATAGTTGGACAGACAGGGATGGACTTAAAGTCTCAGTGTACTTTTCAAGGTGACATCAGGACAAATGTACCTCCCGAGTCTGTATGCCTAATGAACTGTAGGTTTGGGGAAAACCTGACCAGGCAACTTCCAGAGAAAAAGGCAGAGGCAAAGGAAGACACAGAGAAAAGCCTGAGAGCCCTGTGCTGTTGGGTCTCCTGTGTACAGATTCTGGCCTTCTGAAAAGGTTCAAATGGCCAGCACATGTGGAGTATCTCATTCAGCCTACGATTCCACAGCAGACACATACATTTGTGAATTAGTCACAGGGCCCTGATGCAGATCAGCTATCATCCATTCTGGCACAAACCATGCGATGTTGTAGGCAGAGGTCAGATGTGGACAGACATACATTTATGTGCTAATTAAGTAATGAGTCTTGAACATTAAAGCAAGTAGAAACTAAGAAATAGGACGTGGCAGTGTCTCAACATGCAGCACTTTTAAGTCTATAAACTATAAGTGTTTTTATCTCTTAGAACTATCCCCAATCAGTTACTGGCGATTTCAAATGCACTACACCGCTATCCAAATCAAACTTTGACCTTTTAGACAGATCCGAGAAACCGGAAAATGCTGAATGCTGAACAGATTCCTGCAGCTATACAAACACACTACAAGAAAAAAAAAATTGTTACAGTCACAATTCGTAACACTTTTTAATAAATTATCAATGTAGCATATGGAATCTTCTATGATTGAAGAAAATTAAATTTTGCCTCTTAGAGATTTTCTCCACAAACTGTAATTACAAACATTTGCTCCTTTGCTCTATGTATTTTTCAGTTTTACATGCTCTACTTTTACCATAACTCTAGCTTAATGTCCTTCCGCCTAACAATAATGTATTATTGTTTAAATAGTAATCTAAAACTGCTAATATATATGACATGCTGTCCAAATTAATAAATTAATAGTTCACCATCATGAACTACAATGTAGTTCAAGTTTCATAACAAAAAAAAAAAATGTGTGTACTCAAAAACTAAGCCCCAGGATCATGAAAAATTTTGATTCCTAGTAATGCCATTAAGAATAAAATGATTTCAAGAGTGTAGGGACTAAATCACAATTTCTTGTTAATAATTTAGCTGCTACTGACCAATGAATATCTCAGCTTTAGACTGTTATCCAATGACAGCAGCTTTTGACTTTCAGTTAATATTAGCCATGCTATGCCTTTGTAACATGGTGACTTACACTATTACCACTTCAAGGATACAGAGACCTCCGTGATGAATATTCACTAACACTTTAGGGAGACGTAGAGAAATGTAGTGATCCATCCATAGTACTACCTTTGATAGTATCTGTTGCTTGATTTACTATACTCTGTTTTTTTTCAAAATCTCAAAAAAAAAAATGACTTTCGTAATAATGTCAAAAGTAGAACATGCTAAATGTTTATTTCCTTAAGAATCAGACAGGAAAGTGTTAACATTAATATGCAGTGAATATGAATGCCCAAGAACTTCCTACATGGGAAAAAAATTCAGGCTTTTTGGCCTTAAATCATACAAATAAAAGGTATGGGGTTGTGTGGGGGGGGGAGAATAACACCCTTAGGTCTGCAATTAATAAAACATTGTAATCTTAGTTGTCAGAGTTGTCAGCATCTCTCCAAAGCTCTGGTCCAACTTACTAATTTAGTGTGTTTACTAGAAAATAAAAATCAGCATTCTATGAGCTTCAAGTGTGAATGATACTATTGCATTTTTTTTAAGATTGTCTTTAAGAATCATTAGAATAAAGCATTCTCACTGTGTATAGTTTACAACCAAGATTAAAAAGTACAATATAAGTGCTTCTCCTGGAAAAGAAGTAATGGAATATTCTTCCCTTTAGCTTTTCCTATATCTAATAAACGTTCATCAGGTATAAGCACAAGTCAGAAAATGTCCTGTTATCTTAGGTCCTGTATAATATTTTGATTTTGTTTTTGGCTACTTGTAGGATTAATATATATAATACAATTAATATAGATTATCATATATAGTTGATATTATATATATGCATATATATATGTATACATATAAAATCAATAGCCTAGAAATCCTACCAAAGAAGTGCTAAGTTTACAAAGCTACTTGGAAATAATAGAAACTGTGAGACACAATCTCCTATAAATGATTAGAAAATCCCCTGTTTGTTAAGTAAGTGTACAAAGGTCTCAGAGGGCACATGACTCTTTACTCTGTCAGCTAAATCTTTCCATTGTAATATAAACATGGCTGGAATGCTTAAATGCTATAAAATGGGAAAATGGCTCTGCAAACTACTCTTCACATAAACCTTGGGGGACAACAAGAGATCTTTGAAACTCGATATGAATTCATTTTTATAAAAGCCAACCTCTTTCAAGTAACAATATCTGGTTGAACTGACTGAGAGATTCCAATATGAAGTAACATAATCCAACCTATACTTAGCCTCAGAAAACAAACCTAACAATCATCACAACACTGATGTCATTCAATCCTGTAAGTTAAGAGTTTCCCATCGTGAGTAGCTATCCGCCCAGGCTCAGATTCCCATAGGAAGCAAGAAGCTGGGCTGTACTTACTCCCCCCTGCCTCGCCCCCACCACAGTCTGCTCTACCACCAAGCAGCAGCCGTACATGGCCTGATGAACCACAGCCATTTTCATTCCTTCAGCCCATGATCGAATTATTCCCGTGTTTCAACTAAATTATCTCTTGATTTAAATATTAGCACGAAATCCATAGTGACAGCTAGTTCCAAAAGTTCAGATTTTCCATCAAGAGACATCTGTACCTCCAGCTTCTTTCCAATTATGTGCTTCAAAGGGTTAACCTTTTTTTTTTTTTTGGTTTTCAAATTGTGGTTTCTTTGAAACATAACCCTACTTAACATCTCAAACTTTCTTAATTCCTGCCATGATGGTTCTTACTTTTTCAAGTACCTGGCTTCTGCCCCATTAGATGGAGTCCGAAGGGCAGTCCATAGGGATGCTGTCTCTACACAGGGCACTTAGGAACACTTTGCTTATAAGCTAGTTCCATGAAGCATGTTCAAACCGTGTGCAACAGGTCCACCTATTGTGTAAACACAAGCTCCTAACACCACAACAGGAACAAGACCCTGTTCCTGACAACAGCACAGTAACCACACCAACTCTTGCAGTTGCAATCATTATTCTTTTGAGATACATGAAGCTGGCCGTGATGTCTAATCAAGAGAAGTTTGCGTTACTCAGGCCCTCCCACAGCCTGCACCGTAAGTGCAATGTTGGGTAAGGAACTGTGTGACATCCCTGGTGTGCACGCCTTTCATTGACTTCGTGCACATGCCTGGCTTTAGTGCTCAGTGGACGACAGGAAGGACACTTTTTGCAAAGGTCTGACAAGTCCTTATCCTTAAGTTCCCTGTTGCTTTTGCTGTCTGTTCCCAAAGCCATCACAGTAAAACCAGTGGCAATCTAAGATGTCTAGGCTTTGCCATGTCAGTGTGAAATCAAATTAAAAACACACCTCCGAACTAGGAGACGGTGCCACGTTGATCTCCAGTCCCCTGGGAGGGCAGCGAGTAGGCACTTAGAGGGGATGGATTTCATGCGCTCTGTGCTGTTAGATCTAGTTACAGTGTATTAAGTTATGTCTAATAGGAAGACACTGTCTGCTTGAGTGTTTTATCACAAAGTGATGTTCCTAAGCGTATCAAGTATTCCCACGATTTCCCTGGCTTCTTTGATTTTACCTCCCTTTGTTAGGAACGGACCACAAGGAGAAATATTGCAGGAACAACACCCAGGCGGCACATGATGCCAGCCACCAATGTTGTTTCCCGTGCAGTGTGTGCATCATAAAGTCAGGCTTTCTTACAAAGCTACACATTTGCTCCAGTTAGAACACCGCCTCTTCCCTGGCTAAGCAACACCAGCATGCTCCAGTGTGTCTCCGAACGTGCAGCATCTTGCTTTGTGCAGCTGGGGATAACGGATTGTTGGTCTCCAGGCATCCATCACCTACAACACTGGCAAACTCAACAAGGGTTTCAGTGGCTGGCTGGGAAGGGAAACAATGTGCTCCTAGCTACAGAGATCCGAGGAGTGAAGGAAAGGTTCCAGGGAGCAGCCGGCAGAAGGGAGAGGAAGGAAGCCCTGTACTCTTACCTCCACATTGAAATACTGCTCCGTTCCGCAGACCGTAGCACATAAAATCCAAAGCAAGGATTGCAAGAAAAACACCCCCGAACGATGCACGAAATCCAACCTTTTTCCAGTGCTGAATGTGAGTAAGATCATAGTGAACTGTGCCTCAACGAACAGACGAGCTCCCCTGCGTTTTCTCCCTCTTTCCCAATGCCCACTCCCTCGTTTCCTTTCAAAAGAAAAAAGAAGAAAAAAAAAAAAAGGAAAAAAAAAAGTCCAGGGGTGGGTAGGGAGCTTGCAGGTTCACCAACCCGTACAGGGGAGGAGATCAGCGCCAGGCTCAGCTGCCTGGGAGGAGCGGAGGAAAAGCAGGGTCAGCGGCGGCAAGTGTTCACCATCCTCACCCGGCCGTCGCCCGGAACGTGGCGCCCAAGTTCACCCGCGGTTCCGATTCCCAGCGCCGCCGAGTCGCAGCCGCCGCCTCCAGCCCGTGCGTCCTCCGCCTTCTCCACCTCCTACGCCGCGGCCGGTGCCCCCAGTTTCTGCGGGAAGGGCCTCAGCCGCTCCCAGCCCACTGCCTCTGCTGCTCCTTCCCTCCTCTCCGCTCCCCTCCAGAATGTTCATCCGTAATCTACATAACTCCTCCTTCCCGGGGTCTGCGAGGCTCCTGGGGGCCCCGCGCGCGCACACACTCCAACCACAGGCGCGCGCGCTAGGTCACACACACACACACACACACACACACAC